TATCTCAATTACTTTCTGGACTGTTTCCTTCTACAAGCTTGTGAGGTTTTGGTATCCCTGAGAACAAAAGGATATTTGGAAGCTTGTGAAACTCTCTGCTAAAGATTCTATAACTGTTCACAAATGATTGCCTGCTTGCTCTCATTCTCCCTACCACGATGGTCATGGACTTTTACTTTCTGAACTGTAAGTCCCAATAAATGCTTATAATTGAGCAATAGAAAAGTAACTAAGACAGTATCTCAATTACTTTCTGGACTGTTTCCTTCTACAAAAGCTTGTGAGGTTTCGGTATCCCTGAGAACAAAAGGATATTTGGAAGCTTGTGAAACTCTCTGCTAAAGAGTCTATAACTGTTCACAAATGATTTGATTACTGGTTCACACAATTAGCTAGATAATTCAATCAGCCAGCATGCGTGGGAATGCTAATTTTCAGTGTTTAGAGAACTCAGAAAAAGTTTCATCAGAATCACCTCTAGTTACAGGCCCACTTCATGCCACATCTTATCCAGAACACAACGTATCAAAATCTTGAAATGGGCCCCAGAAATAGTCACATTTTAAGAAATTAATATAATATTTTGCTAATGCTTTGGGCTTGTCATTCATTCACACAATACATTCCAATCATATTCACCCCAGGCTCATTTCCCTACTCTTCCCAGATCCTCCTCCTTCTAAATTCCTCTCCTCTTTTCTTACTTTATAGAATACAGATTTCAATCTGTGCCACTCAAATACTCACAGGTGTGGGACCATACACTAAAGCATGGTCAATCTGCTTGGGACCACACTCTTCAAGAAGACTGATTTTCCCTTTCCCAAAGCCATCAGTGTTAAAGAAATCGTCACATCAGCAAGCTCTCCTGTTAGGGAGGCGGGTCTAATGCATAAAGGGCTGCATTCAATCCTCAGAACCACAGTGCAAAAGTCCCTAGATTGCTCTTATTGAGAATAAAGTTCGAAAAATTTGAGTTTGAGATATAAAGTACAATGGTCACCTTTCTAATAATATGAACTTGTACCTTCAAACATCTCCTGGTGATATTCAAAGTGTACTTTTTTTTCCCTTTGGGAGTAATTTAGCTAACGTATTCATTCAAAAAATTAAATACTTTTCAGCATTTAATTTTTCAGCAACATTGTGGATTCAACTTAACTGTGGGTAAGTAAAAATAAAAATAAAATAATAAAAACAACAACAACATACAGGAAGATTACAGTTGTTGACAGGCTGACTCAAGAATGCTTCCAACATGGTTGGAACAAGCAGTTTCTCTGTCCATACTGCTGAGTTGAGCCTTTCCTGTTAATATGGCCCTCATAGTAGAATGCCTTACAAAGTTAGTATCCTGTACAAGCTATGACCACACTACAGTAATCTCTGCACAGGGGAAACTGCTCGGCTATCCCAATCCAGCCACTGCTCGCTTACAGTGAAAACAATGATCAATTTTTGTGATTCCTTTCTTTCTCTCTACATAATGCTTGTTTTGACCAAATCCGCTGAAATGTGTTTTTGTCTGCTGAACCTAATTAAATGTTTATATTATATTTTTTTTACTTCAGTTTTCCTAGAATTCAGTTTTATTCTTCAACCAAAAAGCTATGCAGCACTTCACCAAAGCCAGTTTGCAAAGTGATGGCATATGCCATTCTCCTTTAAACAAACTCAGACAGAGCACAGCTCTTGGAGAGTGATCTCTCACGTACAACACAGTACAAGTGGAATTGGACCAACCAGCAGAGTCTTCGGCTCTGTGATTCTCTAGCTTTTCTACAGGTGAAAAATCCAAAATATAGAGATGTACAGCTGGCTTCCTTTTCCTACTGTGAAACAGTGCAGGCTGGTGGAATAAAGGGTATTTCAATAATAGCTTAATCAAGATATAATTAAGAAGGAAAATTGGGTACCAAAAGTATTCCATAACACACATCAAAGATATTTTCTTACCCCCCGCTGTTTGCCTCCATAGTGCCGGTGTGATTCCTTTACAGCATAACCTCCTTCTGACGCCTGCCGACCTCTCTCTCCTTCCAGCCAGACTACTCGTTTCATTCATGTTTTTACAGATGATCACACCACATCTTAGCAGATGCTACACAGCATATTTTAAAAACTGTAACCCGACTGGAACTTTATCCAAGTTTTCCCATGCTATTTGCGGATTGATTCTATCTGAAGACTTGCTTTTTTATTTGATGTGTAGGTGTGAGTTCTTGTATGTATGTATGTGTGTGTGTATTATGTATGTGCATCACATTCATGCAGTGCCCTCAGAGGTCAGAAGAGGGCATCAAATCCCCTAGAACTGTAGTTAAAGAGTGCTGTAAGCTGTCATGAAGGTGCTGGAAATGGAATCTGGGTCCTCCCCAAGAGCTGGCAACTCTCTCAGACACTGAGCTATCTCTCCCACCCCAGAAATTATTTTAAGGCGTGGACATTTAGAGAAAGGTTCATGCTTTTCTAGTATGTAAAAGGTACCGAATTCAATCCCCAGAACCAGGGAAAGAGTGAGCAAAGGAAAGGAACAAGCAAACAAGCCGACTCTTTTTCTCTCCAACGTGTAGACAATTCCAATTTAAAGAGGCAGCAGCCACAGAAACTCCAGTTTATGGAAACTCGATGCCCTGAACTAACTCTCAAAGGCTGAATGTTTACACATAATGTTGTACAAGGAATTTCTCACGTTAAGCTTAGAGCAAGTAGCGGATCATGTTATGCATTACTGGGGTGTTTTCAGAAGGTGCTGACTCACTGGAAGTTTCCAAATGGCTTCTATATATACCGCTAAAGACCATCTGGCTGGCTGTGAATAAACAAGTTTCAACATAGGGGCCACAGCACATACACAGCTCTGCTCCACCAGTGCAGAAAATTGAGAAAAGGTCACTCTTGATATGAGTAAGTCACGAAAAGCAGGCGGCACTGGGCAGCGGAGGCCTGCCGTGAGATGCACACAGAAGATTGAAGGGCAGCTCCTTCCCTGCTCCTCACCAGTCAGGCCACAACACTGAAACTCTCCTCACTTCTTCTTGTAAAAACTATTTAAAAGTGCCACATCGACTCTAGTCCTCTTCTCTTTCCTTCCCTCTTCCTCCTGCTCTCCTTTCTTCTCTCCTTCCTTCCCATTAAGAAATGTGTATTTCATGCCTACCACAAACATGCTCCCACCACGTTGCACAATAAAAGGGGCATATTGGTTGTCTTAGTCAGTGTTCTGTCGCTGTGAAGAGACACCATGACCACAGCAACTCTTATAAAGGAAACTATTTGATTGGGACGGGCTTACAGTTCAGAGATTTGGTCCATTATCGTCATTAACAGAAAGCATTGCAACACCCAGGCAGATGTGGTGCTGGAAAGGAGTTGAGAGTTCCACAGCCAGAGCAGCAGGCATCAGGAAGAGAGACACTGGGCATGTTTTGAGCAAATGAGACCTCAAGGCCCATTCCCCCCCCCCCAGTGACACTATTCCTCCAACAAGGCCACACCTCCCCCAACAAGGCCACACTTCCTAATGGTATCACTCCCTGTGAGCTTATGGGGGCCATTTTCATTCGAACCACCACACTGATGATAAAAACAAAGCTGAAGACACAAGACAAGTGAATAATGGAAACTAGAAAGAACACCCTGGACAGAGGGGGAGGGAAGGCATAAAAGTTCTGAGAGATAAAATAGCTGTTTAAAATAAATCAAGGCTTGCAAACATTTGTATCCATTCCACTGAGGACTTACTTGAGAGTCAAAACGCTGAAAGGGAGAGCTCTTCTATCTCCAGGTGGGAATTCAAACAATTATTATATTTGCAAAAAAAATATTTTAAAAAGATGATGCAAACTTTTAATCAGATTGGTGTGGTCATGCCCACAATCAGTCTCATAAAACTATATAAAAATATGACTATCAAATGCATACATGGGTATCTCATGGACAAGACACCATGTAAGTGCTTGGAGACTGATTCAACTTCCTTAAAAGCCCAGGGAAACCCTGAGTGCCATACTTGATATGTACTGCATAAAGCTAAACACAGAGGCAACAGTGACTCTGTATCTCTTACAAGTACTTCCCTTCGCAAGCATGGCTTTCCAATGCTCAATGGCTTCCCAGTGTTCAGCCTTGCCATTTCCCTTCCCAAGCATGGCTTCCCAATGCTCAGCCTTGCCAGAAGTCGACAGCTGATCCCCAAAAGTAAGAAAAGATATTACTCAACACTCATTCTTGCTCAAACAGTCATATACTCTATGGAAAATTTTACCTCAATGATTTCTCCCAGCTCTTAGTTAAAACAAAACTGCACCAATAGGCAGAGATAAGTTACGTCATGCAGGAAATATTAATGATTGGACATTTTCTCCCTTTCAGTTGCTACCTTTTCCTTCCATTTGCCTACCACGCATCTAAAGTGCATTGCGCTCATGGGATCCAGCCCCAGCAGCTACAGTAAGGCAGATCAGGCAAGATACAAAGCTGGTTTGAATAGTGAAGGTCATAATAAAAAATAAACAAATATGAAGTCTAAATTAATCCGAGTAACGAGCCATAAGGTCCTACCTTGTGCTGTAAGAAAGAAAACCGTCCCTCTCGGCAACCTGCTACAGTGTTCTCTTCTGCACTGATGACCTGATACACAGCTGCTAGGATCCTGGTGGCAAATTCCTCAAAAGCAAGGGCTACACTGCTCCTATCTTTGCCCTCTCCGCACTGCCCATCCTGACCACAGAAAGAGCCCAGGGTTTATCAAATCAAGAAGCAAACACCCTTTGATTTAAAATTGTAGAGATACTAAGTGGATAAATCCCTACATTGGAAGGCAATTCTACAAAACTGTCGATTATTCATTAGGTCTTGTTGCTGTTGTTTTTAGACAGCGTCTTCAGATCTAAACTCAGACTGTCTTCAGACCAGAGATCCTCCTGCCTCTGCCTTCTGGGTGTTAAGATGACAGGCGTGCACCACCGCTCCCAGCTACCTGCTAGGGTTTTAGCAGACACAAGCCCAGAGGAGGCCCCTACCATCCTTTGTAGAGTAACATGGATGACACCAGACCTTTTATCAAAACAATTACTTAGGTTGTTTTATTACAGCTACAAATAACCTTTATTTGATGTAATGTAATAAAACATTTTCAAATTTAACAACATGTATCTGACATAATTGGTATTTAAATTACGAATATAAGTATATACGGTCACTCTAGCAAATCTGCGGCTCAGGAATTTGTACACACTTTGGAAGGACAGTGCCTCCTTCCCCTTCATAAGAAGGGGCCCTTCCCTGTGTCTCATAATAAGCAATGTCAGTGATGGCTGGAAGAAGTCCATAATCCATGTTGGAACCCGTTTTATCCGGTGAGAGGACAGCTTCCTTCATTGTAGGAAAATAACATCTCTTTTAGTTCTCTTTTTATCAAATTACAGTTTGCATTCATTTCGCCCGTGTGGACATGGGTTTTCTTCCGATCTCTGCCCGTCCATCTCCTTCACCCACACTGCTATCTAGTACCATTTAAGGGACCCTTTCTGTCTCCTTACCTGTCTGAATGCTGACCATTTTTATTGTGGGGAGGGCTTAGAGGACAGAACTCGTCAGGCACACATTTGATTTAAGATACAGAGAACGAACACAGAGACACATTCTCTACATGAAACAGGACGGCGTTCTAGAGTATTCACAACAGGGGTCCACACGACCTCCAATTCCCACAGTTCAGCTGGATAAACATGTTTATGCGGTCTCCAAAAGCACCGCAACCATTCATGGATATTCCATCGCCACACTCCTTCCTCACGACACAGTTATAGAGCAGCCTGTGGGCTCCTTGCACCCTCATAGAAGATGAGAGAAAACGACATGCCGAGTAATCGTGTTAATATACAATGCAGTCAGGTGGCACTCACTCTTCTCCAGTTACCGTCCTCTCTCAGAGCCTTCAGGAGTGCGAGGGCAAGGAAAAGCTTTATTCGGGTTTTCTGCCTCTCTCCGTCCTGAGATCTGTTCCTGAGTTACACCACAATGAGAAGGGGTTTAACAGCAGACGTACACTTGTGGGAAGTCACAAGGACCCTGCAGAAAAGCCAAAGTATTTGACAAAAGCTTCGGACAGACACTGCCCTGGGGAATCGTTTGTATCAGCTGATGACGGGTTTCTGTTTTCTAACAAGGACATGCATCACATTCAACACTACACTCACTGCAGTTTGCTTGGACAGACCCCTTCCATCCGACCACGGAGTGTATGTACTCTGTCTCATGGGTGATTCCTGGAGAGCTACCATGAAGCCTAGCCTGGAAGCATGGGAGTTGTGCGTTAGGATCCCCCCCCCCCCCACTCACATGGATGTGGACTTGTGGAAAGCACCAGAAACTGCTTCCCTCCCAGAACCCAGCTCCGTTAGTGTGCTTACTGATGAGATGGCTGTCTGACATCGACAGCTATTTTCATTGAAACACAATATCACTGATCCACAGGGAAAAGAAAGGGAGAGGTCGCCGTCTCCCTCCCCCCAAAATACACTTTGTACAACAGATCACCCTCCCCCCGGTTACATTCCAGCCATGCCAAGAAGACAGAAGCCACGTTCCGTTTTGCAGTCTCAGCCAAAGATTTCGTAGTTTCCGCCTGCTTTGCACTATTCGCCTCCAGTAATCCACTCTGGATCATGTATCGTGACCTTTTTTTTTACAGTGCTCAGAGTTTTGTCTATAAAAGAGAGAGAGACAAGAAAATTAGGCAGACCATAAGTTTGGGTTTTCACTTTGTGCTGGGTGGATTATTTCTTTTTTTTTTTTAATGGCAGTCAGTGATTTCAATCACTGGTGACTTAGAAGGTGTCGTGAGCATCTCTAATGGAGAAGATGTTAATATGGCTCTTTTCATAAATGCCAAAGATTCTGTAAATTACCAAGCCCATAGTCATATACTTGAGAACGAGACCCAAATAACCCACATAGAAATCTTTTATCATATAGATATGTCCAAAATTGGCTTTGCTTTCAGAAGTACTTAAAATTTTTACAAAATAGTATAACCTTTTCCCTACTTGAAAATAATAACTGTTAAAAGAATAATGACAGTCTGAAAAGCAGAGGGGGCAATATCAAGGTTGGAAAGATGAGGCGGAAATTTTTTCAATAATAATAATAATTATAATAAAAGAATGAGGAACAGGGGAAGAGAGGAAGGGATATAGGGAGGCTAAACCCAAACTAAAGATGGATTAAAAGCCATACAGAAAATCTAATTTGTAAGCTAATCAAAATACAATTTTAAAAAAGAATTTGAATAAAGGTATCCTGCATGGGTGTAGATTGCTGCTCCAAAAAGGTGTGAGTTATTAAATGAACATCCTAGTGCCAGGGTAGGGTACATTCCTGTGAAATTTGGGGGGGGAAGCTTGGGAGGCACCAAAGCAATACAAACTACCACCATTTCCACAGCTGCTTTCCAAGGCTAGGTGATAAGACCATGCTTGAAGATATCACACACTTTGGTTGAAATCAAACAGGAACTGACCTGAAAAATTCCTCTCTGATGGCTAGCTTTCACACTGCCAGAAGATACTTTGTCAGTGGACCATGGTTAATGCAGAGACTCAGTCAGTCAAAGTGGTGGGAATAACTGATCACTGAATGCTCAGCCTTAAGTGATACACCTACATTACTCTTGCCAAGGTCAGGGAACAGGGAAGAAGAGGGGAAAGAAGGAATATAAGAGCAGGAAGATGAAACGGGGAAAGGGTGATGGAACACATCCTCTGTAAATGGCATGACTATTGGATTCATAAACTCACAGACGTGGTAGGGTCCATTAATGTCCCATCAGGAGTGAAGAGGGACTCATGAGGTTTCATGGTTGCAGGGGCAGTGGGGGAGTTGTAGAGCTACTGGAAAGTTACCCTTTCTAAAGTAAATAACCTCTCACCAATGCTCAATAACTAATCAAATGCAGTGGGTCTCTTATATCAAATAAACATGAATGTGGGTGGATGGAGGACTTGAAAAGAATAATGCATTTGGCCAAAGAGAGATAAGAAAGAATAAGGGCTAGATGATGAAGGAGAGTATATTCATATTTTCTCTTCTCTCTCTCTCTCTCTCTCTCTCTCTCTCTCTCTCTCTCTCACACACACACACACACACATACATACACACATACACACTCACAAATTGTATTACTTTCACTGAGAATCATCACCCACTGTAACTCACCTACACAGAAACTAGAGTCCTGCTTCCCTCCAGGTCTGTCTTCTAGACTCACAGAAGTACATGCCTTGGGCCACAGTAAAGTTTAAGCCAACAGCTGAGAAAGTATCCATTCTCCTGGTATAGAACCACACCCCCACAATGCCACATTTTCACAGGCCTTGACTTACCACACGAGCACTATGTTTAGGAGCTGGTCTAGGAAGTCACAGGCCCAGGACCAGGTTTCCAGGTTAGGCTCTCTGCCTCACTCACACTGTCCCTGTATCTGAATCCATTTACCTGAAGTTCCCTTCTCAGCCCAGTCCTTAACAACTGAACTTCCCAGCTGATAGAATACTCTTCTCCATAAGTCACAATCTCTGGCTTCAACCCTCAACCTCACACAAGAGTGCCTGAGAATAACTGCTGTATTTCAACCAAGTCCCAGTTCCACAGACTAGAGTGAAGACAGGAAATAAGCTGTGTCCTCAACTAAGGAACTCCAGAGACAATTCTAGCCTAGGACTGTTGACTCTTCCCTTCAAGGGGAAGGAACACACCTAGCAGCCTCTAACTCAGCTTTGCTCGCACGGGCTCCTAAACTCTACTGAATTCCTACAGGCTCTAGTCAGCACCATCTCCAGAGCCCACCTTTCCTTACCAGCCACCTGCTAGCCACAGTGACGATTTAAGGGTTCCAGGTCCCAGACTACTTAGATAGCATTAGCCTCTCTCCTTGTGTCAATGCCATCTTCCTAGAGCAGCCTCCCCAGGCAGAGACCTCACATTTACATTAGTGTTACAGCACACACTCCTACAATTGGTAGGCTCTCCATCCAGCATGCCCACAATAGCCTAGTATCACTCCTGTCAAAAACCTACTTGACTCCCTGGACTAATTCCAACCTATTCAACTTCCTGACATCACTGAAGACATGTTCCAGGTCCACTGGCCACCTCTGTCCACAGCTGTCACTGGACTGGACTGTCTTAAGCACTGAGCAATCCCTATCCTAAGCCTCCCACATCTCTTCTTATTAAATCCTACTACCTCGATATCATGTCTTCAATGATTTTACCATGTGAGTTATCTTCCTAAGGACACCCCCATACCTTATTTTTATTGTGTAGTTTTCTGTACTGTTTGATTGTGTTACCTGTATTTTTTTTAAAACTAAAGAAAAACAAAAACACAAGAAGGTGGTAGGAGAGGTCAGGGCAAGGACTGGGGCTCAGTGGGAGTTTGTAGCGTGTGTGAGGTTCCTGACTTTGATCTTCAGCATTACATAAAACACCGCACAGACCAACACCCTCCCTACTTTAAGAGACTTAAACTCTGGGTAACTGCAAAGCATGGAGCAAAGAACCTGTTGTCATTACTAGTTGATTATTTAATAAAGGCCAAGCACTGAACATGAACTTCAGGCAATTAGTGATGAAGAAGATATCACTGTGAGGGACATATTAGTAAAGAAAATGTTACTGAGAGATACACGTCCAGGGAATAGCAAACTCTTCTTTTTGCTCCTGTCACCAAAGTAGCGGCCCATCACAGACACCCAGGATTGCAAGGGGCCTTGATATTTCTTCCCAGTTTCCCCTGGGATGAACTTTACTTCATTTCTTTTAAACTACCCCTTTCCACAAAGAAAGCATGCAATCAGGTTGAATTCCAAAGCTGCAGCCTAAAGCTTGGAGGAAAAAATTGACAGAATTCATGGCAGAAACACAAGGTTATTCTGCGATGAGTCACTGCTAAGTACCACTGCAGCTGACGGGGATACTAAGAGGTTCTTTGAAGAGAAAGACAATACAGTCACCAAGGAGAAGAGGGGAGACAGAAAGGAAGAGCTCCTTCAAAACAATTCCATTATCCTCTTCTATAGCAAAGTATTTGAGAAACTGCTCTTCAGAACTGCTCATAAAGGATTCCAAACAACAAGTCCTTGTGACACGATACTTAAAAGCAATTTGTGGCAGTTCAAGTCCGTGAGGAAGATCGCTGGATTAAAGAGAAAGACAGGATCCTTGCTCTTGTCACATTGTCACATTTTGTCATTGCCTTTATTTACACACTTGAGAAATAGTGAAAAGATTAAAATTGATAGTAGTGAACCAAAATTACCAGTGCAACAGTATTCAGGACTTTTTTTCCCTGCATTCACTCCGTTACCCCAAGGAAAGTCCTTGAGTGCCTGCTGGGCTCCTGGGACGCTGGTTATGCTGATTAAGAAAATGGGAAGAAATGGGTAAATATTTGGAAGTGACAACACATAGTCTAGACTGTTCACACAGAGAAAGGAGGCTGAGGTGTAGGGGAAAAAATAATGGCGTCAAGAAGGCGAAGCAAGAAGCAAAATAACACAGACCCAATCCCAAACAGAGAGGAAGAAAAAGGCAGAAGTAATGGGGAGTTTCCCAGAGTCCTTAGGGTGGCCTCCAGATGTGTGAGGGAGCTGGAAAAGTAGGAGGAGTCTAAGATTTCTCCTTTGTTCTGTCTGAGCTGTGGAGTGCATGTCTTTGGTCACTGTTCTAGAGACCGCAGTGACCGGTTGCATTATCATTTAGACTCGTAGAGTATAACCTCAAATGTCACCCAGCCTTATAATATCAAAGAACAAGTTAGCAAAACATGAGACTTAAAAGCAACATATGTCAGGTCAAATTGATTAGCAGCTTTCTAACTAGTGTTTGCTTGAACATAGCTGTGCTGTGTGGACTCTAACTCCGGCTGAAAATGATGATCAAGTGTCACTAACCTCAACAGCACAAAACCCACAGGAGTGTGAACTCCCAGAGATGAAGACTGTTGTGCAATCCTCTCTCTACCCCTGTCGTGCCTGGTGCTGTAGCTCATGCCCAGAAAGCCATCTGGTGTTTCTAGTAATATCCGTGCAAGGACTCTACATCCAGCCTCCACCTTTGGAGTCTTCCGTACACTGCGACAAAACCAGTGCCCCTACGTTGATGGCTCCATCCATTAGATACAGAAGACAATGGATGATGGACCACCATCTCCACCAGAGTTTCCAAACCTCTTTCCTTACAGGTTAAGTCTTTTCTGCGGGAGGCCTTTGTGTGCATTGTAGGACGACTGGCCGCCTCCCTGACCTACACTTAGTAGATGGCATTTAACATCCACGCACACTCCAGTAATGACAATCAAAAGTATCTTCGGACATTGCCAACCATCCCCAGGAGAAGAGGCAACAATTCCTCTGAATTGAGAAACTGTGGCCTACGCTTAAATCCAAATTCTTGGGGCTGCATGGATCATTTGTGGCACTACCTATATCATGTCTACTCTGATCTCCAGCTGTTTCCTCACTCTAGAAACTAGTCTAGATCAGCTCCGGCTGGCCCTCCCTTTGCATTAGCTCCTACCTTGGTGGCTCTACACGAATGTCCCTTTTACCTGGAACGCTTCTCGGTTCACTGTTAATGATAAATGCTTTGACTAGCCTCAAAGATGAACCTTTCAGGAAGTCTCCTCTGATAGCATTGGTGGAAGGACCAGCTAAGTCATTTTCTTCTCCGCTGACTGACACGGCTTTCTGCCTTGACTCTCATCATTAGGAAACAAAGCTGAGTGTGTCTGTGTTGTGCTGGATTCAGCCATTATAACAAAATATCATAAAGTGGCAGTTTGTGAGACTGTTCTTCATCTCTAGAGACTAGGAAGTCCGTAATTGATGAAGCAGTAAATTTGGTATCTGCGAGGCTCTCTGTCTCCTTCATAAGCCAGTTCCCTCTGTTCTTTTTCATAAGGGCCCTCCTGACCCAGTCACCTCATAGGGTCCCCACCTTTTGATACTGCTATATTAGAACCTGTATTTCAACATATAAATTTAGGTGGAGCACAAAAGTATGTTTCTCTGTTTCTATATGATCACCAAAGTATATGTTTCTGGACTTCACATATGTAGAAATACATGAACAACAGCAAAAGTGATGTCACACTTTATGTATCCTCTATATACACCAGTGTGCACCAGTCATCCAAAAAGAAACTGAAAATGAATATTCTAACATTGGTGCCGACAACAGAACCTCCTGGTACAGCATTCAAAAACAGCTGCCATATGAACTCTATACAATAGTTCTAACCGTAAATGCATCCAAATGTTGATGGATATTTTTAAGCCAATCATCTTAACCGATTTGCATATTTATAAATTCAAACTGAGAGAGATGTAATCAGGCACAGTAATTCTCTCTTAAATCAAGGGACAACAGACTATTGCCTGTGAGCCAAATCCAGCTGGTCATCTCTTCTATAAACCAAGTTTCATTGGTATGTACCCACGTCCTCTTGTTTACTTAAGTGGGTGACAGTGGCAAAGATGAGGAGTTTCAACAGAACCGTATGGTTTTCAAAAACTTAAAACACTACTTATATGGGTCCTCACCATATAAGTCCGCTGACCCTTGTCTGGGACCTAACAGGAAACCACACCCAAGCCTCCGCACTAGCTAAGGACAGACGAGCAAGCATACTTGTGTTTTATTTGAGCTGATTTATTTTTACAAAGGGTACAGTAGCGTGAAACTAAAAGCACTTCTGAACACAGGCTTCCTGGGCTGAAATCCAACTCTATCAATCTAATCTGAAGGACCATGGGGAAATGACTTGATCTCGCCAAGCTCTTGTTTTATCATAGTCAAAATGTAAAAATTGAGAAAAAAAGTAGCCCGTCATAAAGTTTTGAAGTTTCAGTGGTATTATTCCCAGAGTTCTCAGCGTAGTGGCTGGGGATGAATCTGCAATCACTGTGAGCTATTCTTTCAAACAGGGAAACATGTTTGTGTCACGTTTTTAAAATTGCTATTCTTATACCTGAATTATCTGTGAATGTATTAGATAAACTAATCAATGAAATTATCCTTGAGTCGTCAGAGGCCTGAAAATAGAGACATGATTAGGACATCATCTCCCCTCTCCTAGTTCGCACACTGGCTGCCAAACGACGCCTCCTGCCACCCGCCTCACGCTGTCTGCCTTCCACGCCATTTCCAAAGACTTCCCTCAAACACATTCCAAATTGTGTTACTCCTAAAAAATAAAACCAACACACGTTCCTCCTTCTGGCCTAACAATCCCGGTGCCAGGCAAAATAGCTTAACAACTTGTACCAAGAAATAGCTCTTTCCAGGGGATACGGAAGCACACCAACTAAAATGGGTTACCCATCAACTCCCTTTCCACTGATAATGAATGCAAGGTTTTTGATCAAGAAATCTATAGCTGTCATCAGCTCACCTTAACACCCCCGGTCCAAGCTCTAGAACTCTTATCAATGGCCTGGGTTTATCTCCTGTATTTGACAAATGACTAGGATTCTGTCCAGATGGGACCCTCCCACCGAGCATGTCTAACAAACACAGCTTACTTAGAGGACGCACAGCAGCCTAGCTGCCTTCCTAGCAAGCGGGTGTCCACTCTTCCTAGCTCCAGCATTCCGTAGCTCTTCGCTACCTCAGACTAAATTTATCTGACAAGTAGAATTATGTGACGATTAAGGGCACAGGCACTGGGATGATCCATTCCACATCTATCTGATCATAAGTCAATTATCCTATATCAATTACCCTGAGCCACAAGTTAATCCCCTGGGAGCAGTAGCATGGTAGCTACTGCCAATGGCATTCTACAGCTGACGATCACTGGCATAGATTACATAAACAGAAATAAAAAGCAGAGCTTCTTCCCTGAGAATTTCCAAGTCTGGAGGGCAAATGCTCATTTCGTGGGATCATCTAGATTTGAAAGGTCCTCGGAGGTTGCTTATAATGAGTGTTCTAGAACCTGACGTCACAGGCTAAATTTTTAAGTCCTGCCTTCTGTGTTGTGGATGATTTCATGTGAACAGCAGTATGTACACAATATAAGTAGAAATGAACACTGTGATGTTAGCCCCAGCTCAAGAACCAGAATAGCTATACTCTAACAACTTCCCACTCTAAGACAAATGCACTCTAGTATTCAGAAGACTTGCAGTCCTAGGATGGAGGTCATGTGGGATCTAGACTTAGTGGGGACCTAATTGTGAGACATGTCACTTGCCCAGGCACACTAACAGGCAAGGTCCCTCTGAACTAAAGCCCTCAAACTTCTCTGCTCTGTTCTTTTCTATTCTCATAACATGGGAATATATTCTCCACCAGAACCTGTTATGATCTCATCCCAAGTTTCTTTCCTCTCTCAATGGTCAAATCTCCTCTATATAACTTTCTTTTATATAAAAAAGTCTTCATTTCACCTGCTGACCACACTACCATCTTGCCTCTCACCTCTGTAACAATGCCGAATTTGTTCATATGTGAGTTACTTGTGAAACTCTCAAGTCCTCACTAACATCGGCTCTTTGTAGCACGTTTTCAGATCTCAACTCCCATTGGCCCCTAGAATATCAGGAACGTCTCCCAGAGAGTCCCAAAAACTTGACAGCTCCAGGAGGAATCCGGTCCTGGATACCAAGACAGGAAGCATTTCTTGACACCTCAGTGGCTAGGGCCTTGTCCCAGCATGCCATCTCCTAGATGGATGAAGTTCCATACCCGAAAACTAAAAACAATAAATAAAGTAAAAAATAAAAAGGCATTTCTTCCTCAAAAGAGGCATTTCTCTAGGAACTATGAGATCGCCAAGAAAGGTTCCCCACATGGAAGAACAAAGGCAATGAAAATGGCAACGTCATGGGAATTCAGATACAAGGACAGACATAACTAAGATGTTATTTGTGATGAAAGAGATGGAGACAATCACCTTCCATGTCACCGGTCACATGAGCTGAAATTCATCAGAAAACCAGTCTCTTCTTCCCTTTCAAATACCTAAATATCCCGGGTTTTGTTGTTTTGTTTTGTTTTCTGTTTGTTTTTTTTTTCTTTTTTATTGATTTTTTTATTGAGCTCTACATTTTTCTCTGGTCTTCTCCCTGGCTCTCCCCTCCCCCCCTTCAGACCTCCCCCAAGGTCCCCATGCTCCCAGTTTACTCAGGAGATCTTGTCTTCTTCTACTATCTACTTCCCATGTAGATTAGACCTATGTAAGTCTCTCTTAGGGTCCTCATTATTCTCAAAGTTCTCTGGAATTGTGGTATTTAGGCTAGTTTTCTTTGCTTTATATTTAAAAACCACCGATGAGTGAGTTTTTAACTGGGTGAAAGTATTCTGAACTCACACCTGAAGTCTGGTAGAACATCGGTTAGCCACTGATTCTGGGAGCTCTCCGCAGCATTAAAGAAGCTGCATGAAAGGGGGTGAGGCGTAAAAGGGTGATAGTGATAAGTAACCTTACAGCACAAACTCGACTCTCCCGGGCCTCTCGGCAAGTTTCAGGGCCTCGTGCATGCCTGCCGCAGAGAGCTTCCGATTGATATTCCGGTATTGGCACTGGAGGAGGCTGCGGTAGGTGGTCCTCAGGTCCCGGTTGAAGAAGGCATATATAAAAGGGTTAATGAGAGAGTTTGCATAGCCCAGCCACAGACATGTCCTCTCCACCCACAGTGGAATGCAGCTGCAGGCGGTGCCACAGATAAAGGGCCTTGCTGTGGACAAGAGGAAAAACGGCAGCCAGCACACTGTGAAGGCTCCCACGATGATCCCCAAGGTGGTGGCCGCTTTCTGTTCCCTCTTGAAGATGGAGATGTTTTTCCTTTCGTGTTTGAGCAGTCTCGAAAGATTTGCACACTCTTCCACCTCCTTCTGGAGCTTCACCACACCATTCAAGGAGATGACGCTCTCCGGTTGCACGCGCGGGAAGCCTGGGAACTTGTGTTTGGCCGCGCTCTTCCTGGCAGCCTTGTAAATCTGATAGTACATGATCAGCATGACCGACATGGGGATATAAAACGCCACGGCGGTGGAGTAGATCGTGTAGCCAAAATCCTGGCTAATCAAGCACACTTTGTCATCGTTCACATTCTGAGCCCATCCGAAGAGCGGAGGTAAGGTGATGGAGGCCGAGAGAAGCCAGACCGACAGAATCATTTTGGCCATGCACCTCCCGTTCTGCCTCACGGGGTATGTGAGGGGTCTCGTGATCCCGAGGTACCTAGCGGAGAGATGGAAAGATAAGAACTGAATACAGTCATCACTGGACACCCATGAAATGCTACCGGCCAGGCTCTGGTAGCAATTCTCATAACAGTAGGACCAGTGCTTCCATTTTGCAGGAAGGTAAACTGGGGCTCTCGTACTTTACCTCTCTACTCCAGGTCACGCCCTTTGGTAAAGTTAGCCATGTTTTCCTTACACCTTGTAGATTCTGACAACCAAGGCAGCCAAGGAGGTAAAGGTGAAAGGCCTGCATCCTCCCGTGACCACCACCATTCAAACCAGGGTTAAGACATCACTCCTTGTGTGCAGACATCTTCACAGTTTAGTAAAGGTCTGTCACGCTGATGTTATATGTCCCCCTCATCTGCGTGGTCTTAATTCTGGCCAGCTTTTAATTCCGTCCAATGTTGCCTTGGCAGTAGAGCCTGTAAGATCACTGAATTGTGAGCTATTTGAGGACTCTCAGGATTTGGAAATGGAAACAGGAGTAGGAAGTGATTATTTTTTATTGCCATAAAATTCTCACAAAACAGTAACATCAGAGGAACATCCTTTGACATTAAAAGCAGCCTGCCTTGAGCTGCAGTTCTGAGATGGTCCACAGAAAGGGGACAGCCCTCATAAAGAGTAGGCAAATGCACTGTCATCCCTCTGTGAGCATCTAGAAAACGAATAGGTCTGCATTCCTTTTATCAGAGATTTACAATGCCAACAGGACAAGGCAGACAGACAAAAACGTACACTGTGAAATGTTTGACTAAAGGCTCAATGTTTATAAACGTTTAGAATTTTTCTCTGTGTATTTAATGGTCTTGAGAAAAGCTTGTGATTCTGGCGGGGTTTTGCACCCCCCCCCCCCACGGATGCAGAAGATCCACTATTAAAGCACATAAAGTAAGGCTCCCACTTACCAACCAGCAGCTCTTTTCTGCAAGATTTCAAATGGTAGAAGAAAGAAAAAAATCTGCTAACATCCCTGATGCTTAAGTTATCCCACAGAAGGTCAAAATCATGCTTCTTTTTTGATGAAAATTAGCATTTCTGCATCATTTACAAAGCAGAGGTACAGTAAAAATGAACAAGTAAGATTTGCTTATTCACCATGAATAGATATTCATTCCTTCAGCAAGTATGAGTGTTTTTGAAACTGGCTCTAAGGTCCCAAGATCCCAAAGTTGTTCAAATCCCTTATGTGAATATTGCATGACCTACTTACACAGACACAATCCTTGACTCAAATCATGTCTAGATGATATATAACACTTAGTCAGTTATAAACACTATGTAGATAGTTGCCATAGAGTATCGGGAATCCTGGCAAAAAGAAGGTGAGTCTGTACATATTCAGGACAGATACAATTATCATAGGCCTAACCACTTGGCATGTTATCTGTGATTGACTGCATCTACTGATTAAGAAATCACAATACAAAGGTTTGACCATATTAATGGAACTGTTTCTATATGCCACACACTGTCTAAATTTATTGAGTATATAGCAATAAATCAAAGAGATAAAGTCTTTTGAAAGCAGCACCAAGTGAAATTATGAAGAGAATAGGGAAGTCGCACAGTTAGTAAAAAGGGATTTTCCGTGCCTTCCACTTAGGTGGTCATTGCATAGTTTCTTCATTTACAAGTTTTGCCTTCCCAGTTCATGGCAAGAATTGTCCATAACCACGGGCTTATCAAGTGAAGTTAGAACCACTTTTTGGCTCCCAACAGGATAAAAAAAGATCAAGGATTCTTTCCTAAGAAATCAAGAACCACGACCATGCGGTTATCCAATCAAGCAGGTGCTTGTCTGAAAGCCTCATCCCTACTGGCGAGCTGTCACAGTGCTGGAAGGCATTATGCACGCTACGGGGGGAGGGTAATCATCAGCCATACCCATCTGTGCACTTTCAAAAACTATACTAATGCCCAACCTGGAAAAACATACGGTGGCATTGAATGTCATGGGAGTGGCCAACCACATTCTGATTGTATTCAGTGCCAGCTCCACAAGTTAACACCCACTCCTGGCACAATTATTAGGGTGAGGAACCTGTGGCTAGACACACCATAGGCCTTAGCAGAGTGTTTATTACTCTGCTAAATGAGATAGTAGGAAACTGACTGTGAATGATTTATCCTTATACCCATAGACCAGTGCATTTCTCAGCCCTCACCAAAGCAGCTTCTTTCTGCAATAGATGATGATTGACATAGAGGCCCACCCTCAGTCAGGGTGCAGGGAACAAAAGACTGAATGAATGCTCAACGGCAAATGGGACATCTAGTTCACACGCACTCTTCTCGAGGATCAGGGATTATTACAGAAGAGGGAGCATAAAGATTTGAAAAGCCATTTGTGGTATATAACACAGGGAAGGCATGTCTTCTGGAACAGGAAGGGTGTTGCACATATGGGCCCATAGCAGCCGTTGACAGCATGCACAAGACCTGTGTAAGCTCCAGCCAGGCAAATTCTCCCTGAGGATGGGGGGAGTCTTCACATAGCCCCACGCCTAGCTGAAGAGCTGTTGGCAATTGGCAGCTGTTAAGAGAGGAAGAGTCAGTTTTCTAAGTATTTCTACCTAGTAGATCAACCATGACAGAGAGGAAGGCCACATATACAAGAATATACAGGTAGGACAATTTGGACTCCATGGGTTAAACATAACATGTTGAGTGGATGGGAAATTAGTAGATCTGGAAGGAGTTGGGTAAGGGATGAATATGATGAAAATGTGTTGTGTGAAATTCTTAAAGAACTAATTTTAAAAGATATGTACAACAGAAGCAGGGGTTATTCCCTTCGCAAGAGCAAAGAAGAGCGAGGAGAAATGACAGGAGACTAGGGACAACCTTCAAAAGCATAGGCCCAGTGATCTAGTTCCTCCAACGAGGTCCCACCTTGCAAAGTTTCCAGAACTTCTTGAAATACTGCCACCATCTTGATGTGGGAGGCCCTTCCGTAGATGTGTTGTTTTTATTTGTTAATGAATAAAGCTGATTTGGCCTATAGCAGGGAAGAATATAGCCGTGCTGGAAGGGANAGAGAGAGAGAGAGAGAGAGAGAGAAGGCAGAGTCAGGGAGACACCATGTAGCTGCCATAGGAGCCAGATGCTGGAACCTTACTGGGTAAGCCACAGCCTAGTGGCAATACACGGAATAAAAGAAATGAGCTAACTTAAGATGGAATAGTTACTTAATAAGAAGCTTGAGTTAATAGGTCAAATGGTGTTGTAATTAATATAGTTTCTGTGTGATTATTTGAGTCTGGGCAGCCAGCCAGGAAACATATGAGTAGTCTCCTTTTACACCACCTGGGAAATAAACACTCAACACATGAGCCTGTGGGGGACATTTCATATCCAAACTGTAACAATGTGACAGTCGAGTTTAAGTGAGTCTCCTGTGTATTGTCTCTTCTCTTCCCTGATGGTCAAACATGAATGACAGACATACCATGCCATAGCTGATTGTCTTGTTGCTCCTTGCTGGCACATACTGTCTAATGTAACACTTTAAGAATGTAGTTACCAAAAATAATAATAAAAAATTAAAAAAATAATGTAGTTGCCAAACAGTAACTGAGCAGTTTTATGGGAAAGGGATATTTTTATGAAAATCTATTTCATACATTCCTATTCCCATTGTTCTTTTGTGTAGTTATATACATGTGTACTTACCTATCAGATAGTCTCTGTAGAAAATATTTCTGGTTCTAGTTTGTTTCTGCATTTAGATTACAAGAACTATACAATAGCTGTAGAGGAAAATAAAGAGCTGTAATAAAATACTGCACTCTTGGGGGAAATACTAGACAAGTAAATGTAGAGAAAAAGAAGAAAGGAAAATGAGCCAGGAAGAAAGAATCAGGGGAAAGGAAAATATAAAGGAAAAAGAAACATTAAGATGTATTTGTTTTATGTAGAATTATGTCAGCTACAAGCTACAGAAGTAAATAGCTGTAAAAAATTTTAAATAATTAAATAATAGTAAACCCCCCACACACAAATAATAAAAGACGTAGGCATTGATAGGAACCTCATGATTAAGCTGATTTTGCCTTAATGCTGAATGCAGTTGCTGCGCTGTGTCTATGGCCCTGGCTTTAACTTGAACAACCAGAACAACCCAAAAGCCAAGGTTCACGGAGCTCTAGAGAACTGAGAAGGGTTCACGTGGTTCCCCAGGTGACCACCAGGTGGCACTGACACACCACCTTACACCTACTTAAGGGGCGAGGGGTTTGAGTTGGGGGATAAAACCGGTACAGATTCCAAGGAGCCAGTACAATTGCTCAGGGCAGTAAGTTACATTTTATTTGGATGACTGCAAAGCAAAAGGTAAGCATCTATTTAAAGGCAAGTGTACCTCTGTTTTCTTCACAAGCCCCTTGCCAGAACAAAGATGCTTCAAGCTCAATCGAAAATTCAGCCTTTCGGCTGTCTACATAAATAATACAGAATTTACAAATATTTGTCATCAGAGATTAACCAATGGTGTACTAAATAATATCTCAGAATACCAGACAATCTCATAGGAGCGCCTGCCCATACATGTTAGCACATTAACTAATATATTTCAGGAGTGGGAGCCAGAACATAAAATGCCCTCAGTGTACTATTGTGGAATAATCTTTTTACACACTGTGAATGTGTGCCATTTGTATTGCTTAAATAAAAGCTGAATAGCCAATAACTAGGCAGGATTTGGGGGGTAGAAAGAATGCTGAGAAAAAGAAGGGAAGACACCAGAGGACACAGAGCAAGCAGCACGGCCATTACAAAGTAAAGGTAACCACGCCACATTAAAGGACATAGATTTTAAAAAGGGAGGGGGGGTAATCTAAGTTATAAGAGCTAGTTAGAAACAAGCCTAAGCTATTGGCCAAGCTTTCATAATACATCTTTGTGTTATGATTTGGGAGCTGGCTAATGGAACAGAGAAAGACTAGCTACAGTGTACGAATTATGTTCCATAAACACTGTCATGCTTTGACT